TTTTGGAAAAAAAGGTTCTTATAAGTAGTTTTGTTGCACTGTTCCTTTTTCTTTTACTTCAGTAATATTATTATTGCTGCGTAGATTCATTTTGTCCCCAAAATAAGCCGATGCTTCCCTGTTAAACTCGTCTGGAGTCGGACCGACTGGGTCGGTGTCGGTTCGGTACCAAAGTGTCATTTCCGGTCGTGTGGGATCCATCAGGTTGGTACCGTCAGGTCTGTGTCAGTTTCTTTTGGTTATTACGAAAACAATCCCGTTGGGTCGGGTTTGTTGTGTGTCGGTACCACCGTGTCCGTAGCTCGGGTTGGCTATAGGGTCAGTACTATCGGATTGGTACCATCTGGTTGGTTCGGTTCCGTTGGGTCGAACCACCAGAACCAGCAGCAGACAGAGAGGCGGATTCGCATTTGCTCTTGCATCAGTTAGTTTTTATTGTGTCATCCAGATACAGGCTCCTAACTACTGCGCCTCCTGTCCACCAGGGGGCGCGCTCTGAACTCACAGGCTTCTGTTTATTGTCTTCGGCTCCTCTAAACAAGGCGAGATTAAAAAATGACGATGCAAGAGCAGAACAGCGCCTCCCGCAGGACGAGACGCGTATGTATCCATAACTTAACGCTCCACGGATGAGTCCTAAACAGGAAGTTACAAAGGCAGCGTATTTACATGTGATGTCTCACTCGGTACAAATTTCAAGTCTGATGTGTTTTTAACATAGGCAGGCGATCCAGGACCGTCTCCAAGGAGATGGGGCCATCAGGGGTCAGATCCCGGCGTTTCCTCGACCTCCTCGGGGGAACCGGGCGGCTCCTCGGCCCGGCCCAACTCCTTCCTGTCCACTTCCTGTTGACCTTGGATCTTCAGGATGAGCTCCTTGATCTCCTCGCGCTTTGTCTTCATCCGCTGCTGGGGGAACCAGTCAGACAAGTTCATGGGCAGGTGGAAGCTGGGGATGGGGTTCTGGAGAGAGGAGCAGAACCAGGACGGATCAGAACCGGGACACAGCAGAACCTCTGGAGGCTCCCAGAAACCCAACAGTCGTCTTAGAGCCTCCAAAACCTGAAGTCTAACATCAATGTCGACATGACTGAATCTGATTTCTATTATTTTACTAAAATTGAGATAATGTGTCAGTTTCTGTCTGAAATAAATGATTTTATCTATTTATTACGCGATGGATTTACATCAACTCCAGCCTCAGTCCTTGGAAACCCAAATCTGTATCCCAGCATGCACCTGGGTTATTGATGGTCTTTGATGGCCGCAACCATAACGGAAATAAAACGGTTGAAATGTCAACGTTAAAGACTTTTTTCTGCTTTGGACACTTTTCTCTCATGTGAAGCTGATTTTTAATCCAACTGTCATCTAAATTTTGGATAAACTTCTAAAATGTCAGAAGAAAAAGGAAAACTGAACTGCGTCAGGTGGAAACGTTCATTTTACATTTCGCAGCTCTGAATTGAAGAGATTAAAAATGGAGGAAGGTAAAGATTAACGTGATGTTAGAAGACCTACGAAAGCCCGGCTTCTCCGACTGAACTGGAGCGCTCCAAGTTCCCACGGATATCGAACGCAGCCCGAGTGAGACGGCTTTTAGCCAATAGGAGAATTCAACTGCAGTAGCCGCTTCCAACCCACAGAGGGCAGCACTGAGACACCAAATATTTGAAACAAAGGTGGAAGCTCTGCGGATGAATTCAGTTTGTCTGGAAAAGTTGATGTGGGTTAGAAACAAGATGGCGGACGGCTCTGACCTCGAAGAAGCTCTCCACGTACTGCAGGACGTAAACGCCGCAGTCGCTGAAGTTATCCTGCTGCGGCACGCGGGGGCTGGAGCCCTTCATCACCTCCTTCCCAAAACCCCGCTGCGACGCTTGCCGCACCTCCCACTCCACCTCCAGGTACCTGGACCAGAACCGGATCAGAACCAGCATCAGAACCAGCACCGAAGCCGGATCAGAACCTGAACGCATCCCACTCACTCTCTGAGAGTCTTGACCACGTTGGACCGGGCCGGGCCGCGCAGGGAGTCCATGATGAGGATACACGGCCTGAGAGAGCAGACAGGGCCCGTCAGAACCAGCAGGGGGCGCTGCTGGTTCTGACGGGCCGACCCACTCACTGTTTGCAGATGACGGGTTTGGAGGCCAAGCTGGTCTCGGAGGCGCCGGTGTCGTCGGCCATGTTCCCGTCGTCGCTGCACTCGTCCTGGTCAACACAGCGATTGATCGATTATCAACCACTAATTGCTGTTTTGACGATGAATCGATAATTTGAACGATTCATCGTGTTAAAACCAGAATCTGGTCCGGTGGGTCGGTACCTGGCAGGAGCTCTGGTCGTCGGAGAAGGCGTAGGCGTCGTCTCCGTTTCCGGAGCCGTAGCAGACGCTGATCCGGTGCAGCTCACCTGCAGACAGCAACAGACGGTTC